CAATATGTGTAGCACTTATTTTTTTTTTTTTTTTTTTTGCGGTAACGGAATGTGAACCGTGAATCCTTGGATTCGTCATCCGGCAAGATAACGGTAAACCACAAGGCCCCAAGTGCTCTTAAAATAAAAACTTTCAGAAAAATTATTCAAATTGATAATAAAGAAAAATAAATGTAACAAAGTGAAACTTTTGATGTGCATATTTTTTCTTCTCCTTTTGTTTTGAAATATGGTGAAACTAAATCACTGAGGTAATAAAATCCAGGAAAAGCCCGAATCTATTCCTGTACGGTACAAAATGCATAACATTGGAAATGAAGTTCTTTGTAACTGCAACACCCGAAACAATTATGATAAATCACAAAAACGACTGCGATCTTCATACAGGGTCCCAAAAGTAGAAAAAAAAATTATATTCACGTAATGAATCATGAAGAAATCACATAAATGTAAAATCCCTGGGTAAATAAAGACAAAAATGAATTTTATCACAATTGATAATGCATAGTTTTCACAAGTAACCTTATTGCAAATTAGATGCAATATTTGTTATAGTCGAACAGATTAACCTGGCTGCTTAAAACAATAGCCCAGATATATATTTGGGATACATTGCCTCTGAAAACTGCTTACCTGTGTATCGAATTACTGCATAAAATCGCCAGTTCTATTCTTTAAATAAAGAAATCGAATCCTTTTTAACTAAAGAATTTTATGAAACCTCCTCGTTACGTGTTTTTGAGCCATCGTATGCTATTGAGAAGTCCAAGAAATTACTGTTATACATCACTTGGGATACAGTTTAAGTCCAAGAAATTAGTGTTATACATCACTTGGAATACAGTTTAAGTCCAAGAAATTACTGTTATTCATCACTTGGAATACAATTTAAGTCCAAGAAATTACTGTTATACATCACTTGGAATAAGTTTGTTTGTAAAAATGTTTACAGAACTTTTTTTCTGGCTGTGGAAACTGCTCTAGTTCATAAATTCTAAATATAATTATTGTTAAGCATAAGGTTACACAATAAGCTATTTGTGCTGTGCCCATCACGAGTATCGCAATCCCATTTTTAGCATTATAAGATCTCAAACTTGTCACCGAATCACCGGAGGCTATTCGTTTTAAAGAATTATCAAAATTTCTTCACCGATATTTTTTAACATTCATTTGAGAAGCCAGTTGTTGTTTTTTGATAACCTGAACTATTTTCTTTATGTTTACTCGTGTTTCTTCTTTTTTCTTTCTAGAGATAATGCAGAATAATACTCTACTAACATTAACAAAACGAGTTCTAAATGCATGTTCGCCTGGTTTTTATTGCTATAAATCGACCTATGAAATCATACATTTTAACTTATTATATCCTCTTTGGCCAATGAGACTCAATCCTGTATCAATATTGAAAATATCAATATTACTCTTATTTAATACCCTCTCCTGAGCAAGGCTTAAAATAGGGGTTGTTCAGGGGTGTAATAAATTTAAATATGATATATTATATCCGGCCGTACCCTGTTTGATATTGTCCGCTGTAAAATAAAAAATAAAATACAAAAAGACAATCGTCTCCAAGAGCACACATTAGAAGCCAGAATTGTTACGGAAAATAAAATTTATTTTTCAGTTGTGGGACAAACTGAGATCACTGATGGGACAACTATTTTAACTTCAGTCCTGCTATTGCTCAGTCAGTGACACCAAATATAATAGTACACACGAGATAATAAACGATTCTTACTTTTTAAATACATACAAGGCTATTTTATTGTGAAGCAACTGGTTTGATTTCTCTATGGATTAGAGTATTTACGTTAACAATGGACAATACTGCATCCACTACAGAAAATATCATCAGTCCTGTATATGAGAAAAAGAGCACCAATAAGTTTGTTTTGTTTTTCATTTATTTCATCAGAGAAAATTCGATTCGGAAGGGGATACACCATGCCTTAGGGCTTTTAACTGCATATCACCTAACGAAATCTTTGATCGGTCGGAGAAATACCTAGCCTAAAGGATTAGTGTTAAATAGATATGATACTTTTCACCATCGTATATTGGCAAAACGATGGGAGCAAACGAATTCTTTTCGAAACTTATACTAAATAATAATATATCTTATTCAAGTAAATTTCTTACCTTGTATTAGATAGCATTTGCTCTTGAAGAGAATGGTCTTCAACAGTCATTTGACTTTGTGAAACAAGGCTCAATTCGTTTCGCACCATGAATTACAGTTTCAACACTCTCAGGTTTTAAATTTAACGCACTTTCTCAGTCTGTACAGATCAGTCATGCAGTGAGACGAGACCGGGTTACTTATAAGTCCATATCCGTGAAGGGGCGTCCCTTATCAACCAAACAGTTGTATTATTGGCTAGTCACTAACGAAGGCGAATCAAAGCAGTTTTAATTTCTAAGAGGCCCCATCCCGCATATTATATATTCTTCCGACTTCACGTGACAACAATGAATATAGCACAAACTTCCCGATAACGCGAACTCTTTCTTTTTTGGAACGGCATACTATTTAGTTATCCCGCCATTCATAAATTTTAAAACGTACAATCCCACGGGAAACTACTACAAAGAATAAAACATATAGAAAATTAAAAGTTTGATAAAATCTGTGAATCATTGAAAGGGCCGGGTCCGCATGGCATGTTAAAATTGGGAGCTAAAGCACATGTTACAGTTGAATAGCTTTATGGTGATTTTCTCCTCAGCGGAATATTGATTTCGTTTGTTTATTTCGAATATTCGCTCAAAGCTAAACAAGATTTATATTTGCTAGCCATCCCTAATTTTGAACTGATAGTCTATAGGGAATGCAACTAGTTAACAGCACTCGCCGCCAACTCTTGGGCTTTGTATGAAAATTCTGAAATAAACAAATATGAAATTTCTTATTAACTATAAATTTGAAATAGTTGTTTATCATCAGTAAAACTTAGATACAAGCAATTAACCAGTAAAATGTTGGATACTCTTTTAAAGGCTTTCGTAACGAAGAGATAGTTTACATTATTATGCAAAATTTTAAATACTTTCATGAATGAGTGAGATCTAAAGCGGTTTCTCTTGCGATATTAGTTATTTTGTAACTGATTTTTATTAGACTTGACAACTGAGTTTGGTGTCATTACTTAAACTAACTAACCTGACATGTGAGGCATTATAGAAAAAAAAAAAAGCTACTTAAACACTGTGGTAAAATCCCAAGACATTTTGCTTTTTTTTTTACAGCCGTCAGTGGCTAAACGGTAAGTCAACGCTTATATAATGTTAAAAACCGGATTTCGATACCCGTGGTGGACACATAACAGCTAGCCTATTGTGTAACTTTGTGCTTAAATATAATAAACACACAAAGTATTTTAACATGTAATGCTTCTGAAATGCACAAGCACAAGTTTGGATTATTTCAACAAAATTAATTTAAAACTTATTACGTTAATCCAACTAATAGTTAAGCTTGTTTGGAAAAAAAATATGATGGATATTTAATTAATAGAGTAAAAAGCAATTTTCGTGAAAAAATGTTCTATAAAACTTCAATTCTTCCAAAATACTGAGTTTCACAAAGGATTTAATGTTTAAATTTCTCACTAGGGAACTTTAATGATTATCGTATTTAATTCACATTTTGAATGTTCTAATATTTAATTAGTTAGAATTGATAAGAATGTTAAAAGTTTTTAGGTTTGTGTCATATTGAAGTTACTAGGTGCCCTAACTTTGGTTAATAAAAATAATAAGAATTTATAAAATAACGCCAGTATTTCCACTGGAAGTTCCCGTCTGATTTTTTTTACTTTTATTGAGAGAAGGTATTCTGTTTGTTTCAAATATTCGTGTAAATCTACGCAAGAATTATCTGCGTCAGCCGTCCCTAATTTTGAGCTAACAGAAGAAAGCTGCCATTCAACAGCGTCCACCGCCAATTCTTGGGCCACTAACTAAATTGTGAAACTAGGCCGCCACTCTCATAACGCGCTTAGACCCAAAACTGCGAAGCGAAATTTTGCGGCAGCGGGACGCGAGCCATAGGCCATATGACTCACAGTCCGGACGCGAACAAGTGGATCACGTTCAGCTTCTGAAGTAATATAAAAACCCAACTATGTACTCTAGTTTTCAATTATGAATAATGTATGCACATTTTGAGCCAATTTGGAATCATGATGTCAGATATCACTTTCTTTTATGATATATGATTTCCTACTTATAAAATTTATTCATCATTAAATTTAATAAAATTGTTTTTCATCTCTCAGTGTATTCAGTTAGAAATGCCTAGAAGCTTAAATTCTAGTATACTGTATATAAGCGTCTGAGTGTAGAGTTAGATCCATACTGAAGAATTAAGAAATAAATATTAAAGTAAGTGAAACGGATGAATGCCAAGATGAACTAGCTTGCCATTTGATAATAACGTGAAACCTAAATAAATTAATTGAATCTGTTTTTCTCGCTTCTCCTGAAATTGTAGGAGAATTAAAAATCATGTGTTTGAATTATGTCTAACGATCATATGTATATTCTTTACCAAAGTGTGCCTCTACTGTTTAGGGTTACTTATTCATTTCTAGAAACCTAAAAGGAGTTAATTATCGGTGCGCGTTATATAATTAACTAGATTTTGATATCATGTATTGAACGTCAGCGACTTTTTGTTAGACCTGACCTTTTTTTGTTGTTGTTGTTCTGTTGTCAACAAGAAGATGTGCAACAAACAAGAGGGAATACTCAATAGCCGCGGCATTGGAAATTATTTTAGGCAGGATTAGAGTAAATTAATCTATGAGACCTTTTTATTAGCTATATTTTTTGCGCCAGCAATACCATAATCATCAGGATTTTTATCAACCTACCCACAAATTGAAATTATTTTAGGCAGGATTAGAGTAAATTAATCTATGAGACCTTGGGCGTGGTCTAATACATCAATCGAAAGGGTTTGACCTCCTGAGTCCAAAACAGTAATTAGATCTCAAATCAATCAAGAGATGACGGAGCTATGAGCTAAAAATTTGTACTTGAAAAACCAAGAGCCATTCTATGAGCAGTTATGCCGCAGTTAAAAATCATTAGTGGAAATTATGTTACCAGGCACGAATGTTTAAATTCCAAATACGTCAGTGAACAATACAAGTGTGTTTCATATAATAAGAAGACCTGCTGGGAAATCTTGACGTGAGGTGTTCTTTACAAGCAAGTTACTAAATTACTTAAATCTGCTTAAGTTTAGCAGCAAAAGATATACATATAAATTGCACAATGATTCTCTCTGTTTAAGTAATGTTTCTGCCAAAAATCTATAAATCAAGCAACAACCGCTGACAGCCAGTTTGGATGGTTTTGGAGTTGTCAGCAATAATTTTCGTACAACGTGTATCAAACACAAAATGGGTGATAATCATTTTTTACAATCTAAATTTTTCTGGAAGTTTCAAGTAACTATAGTTTAGGAAACATCGAGTAGGTAATGCATGACGAAGCGTTCTGCAAAGGTGATGCATGGCTTATAAGCTGTGTTATAAGATCACGGGCATCTAAGTATTTTGAATGGTTATAAATAATCGAAATTATGAATATCATTGTACATCTGCTTTAGACAAATCATCAGTACTATGTTATAAACGTGTCTAGATGCTGTTTGCGTATAGACCATGCAGCATTATTTCTGAGGCAACTTATATTAATGCAGCTGGTCTTTGGAATAAATAAACACAATAATCTGTACATCACCTGAGCATGTGATCCTTGCGTGTATACCATGCAGCATATATTTCTGGGGCAGCTCACTGAAGCGATTTATTCTCTGACATGCAACTGACGACAAACTAATTTTCTGTTTCCAACCAGTCAAAAATTATTTCGTTTGGCTTTTTGAATATAATGTAATTTATATAATGGTGAAATGACAAAAATCCTTATGGTTAATCATACTGGAAAGTTTACAACGTGAAACTCTTGCTATAACAGAATATAAAAGTAGGGGTGTAGTGAAAAAGAAAAACATGCATAACAGACAAGCTTCCTAATTTATTAAATTAAAAACAAGTAAAATTTGAATGGGTAGATTTCCCTATCACTGAATTTGATGGAATTACAAGAGTAAATAATTTTCAAAACCTAAGTTTCCTAATAGCATGAGTTTTGTTATCTAATAGTGAACCGTGTTCTTTAACTAACAAAATTACACGATAAAAAAGCCATAATATAGCATGAAAATTCTGCAAGTGTTCAGTCACTACAACAGAAGTAACTTATAAGTTGGTGCAAGAGCTCTCAAACTTTTTAAGACTTGGACTTGAACAAGTCTCGACGCGTCAATTATCAGGCATACAAAAAACATAAATTGCATACATTTCTTGCAAGAATAAGACAGTTCTACACATACAGCTCATTTTCAAACTAAAATAAGAATAAAAGTGTGTAATGCAACTTATCATTCACGACCCCATTGAGATCCCGAGGAGGGATTGCAACCCACAATTTATAGCTTTTGTGCCAGTGTATATCTTTTCACTGCTATGAACACCTATATATGCCCCTCATTCCCTCTAAAGAACTGTCATGCAACACATTTGGGTCACATGTGCATCATATAACATGTGTTTTATCTTCGAAAAGTGTGATTTTAAACACATGTCAATTTGAGTTTTTTCGCCACCATGAAAAAAGGGTATTCCCACTTAAAATTCCAATAGTTTACCAGTTTCAAATTTCAGAGAAATAATGCGTATCTAAAAATTAAACTGGCATTGAGAGAATTGTTTGTATTTAAACGCGATAGTAGAATAGATAAATAAAACCAAGAAAAAACATTCATTACTTTACATTCTAAAAACAAAATGAAGTTACATTAGGTGTCAACCTTATTACTAAACTATTCGTGTAGTAGTGGAAAAAAAGAGGATTGTGAGGTTGTTCTTGGACACCAGTATAGGAGATACCCAAATAAATACAACTACATATACCAGTATAGGAGATACCCAAATAAATACAACTACATATACCAAATCCATTATACCTTAATTTCTTTCCATTTAGAAACCGTCCACCCTCGAGTCTAACAGTAGGCTTGGCTTAGTGAATAGCGTGCCGGACTGCAGACTTAAAGGTCCAAGGTTCATGCTACGTTGTCGCTGAGCGTGCTCAAAACTTTCATCTGTGGGTGCATAATAAGAGTGATAGTCGGTCACATTATTCGGTTCAAAGTCGGAAAGAACCCTGCTCAGTGTCTTGCCTTCTGTATGGT